CTCTCTCTCTCTCTCTCTCTCTCTCTCTACTGACTGGTGGAAGGCAGAGCCTTGAGCCGCTGATGCACTGCAGGTGTCTCGAAGTAGAAGAAGACCAGCTACGGCTGGTGTCAGACCTCAGGATGTGGTGCCAGGAGAGTGGACTCCTTCACACTCACCTCCTCCCTCCTTTAACCTCCACAGCACTACCCTAACTCTCTAACCCTGCTCCTCTACCTCCACTAGCGCTGGGCTGCTTAACTGGCCTGCCTGGTGGCACGTGAATGAGCTGAGAACTACCTACCAACTTCTGGGCTGGCTTCTCCGAAATACTACTACTCCTGTGTCGATCGAGGCACATTAGCGGAGGCGAGCCACTCACCGAGGTCGGCCTCCATCTGGGACGCCCTGTCGCACTGGGATCCAGGGCGCCAGATGTGAGGCCATCTAGCCAGGAACTCAAGGCGCAAGCCTAAAAGCGTGTGGCCTGGGTCCCTGCCCCTGTCCAGGCCTTCTCTCGCTGTCTCAGCAAGAGGGCGTTGATTCCGTTGAATGAAAATTTGGCCTGGCTCAAAAAGTCGGTCACAGGGCCAGCCTCACAACGAGCTGGACCAGAAAACTTGCGACGAAGCTCTGGATGAGACGAAGTCCTGGGAGCTCATCCAGACCAGGAGAAAATGAACTGCTGTCAATGAAAGCTGCACTGACAACAACAGAATGTGTAGAAAATCGAACTCAAAGCAAGCTGAATAAAACTAGACATAGACCAGACAAAATACCCGCACGTCTTGCCTTCCTTTCCTCTCTCTAGTCATGTGACTGGATTCATCAGATACAAACTGCTGAGGTCTGCGTAGCTTTTGAAGAACCATTTTGGTGGCCATCTCCTTGATTGGTTGCCTCTTGCTTCTTGTAAAGCCGGTTCCATGCAACTGACTCATTGTGTCCATCTGAAAAAATGATAGAAACCCTGACCTTTGTCTACAGGGCTGTAAGAGTTGAGCAGGAGGAGGGGGAGGGGGGGGGGGGGGGAGCAGGATGTCAGCTTCCTTTACTGCACCCTGCAGGCCTTCGGAGGTCAGGAAGGAATATCTGACAGTGGGTCATGTGGTGTGCATGACTTTCTTTATATAGGGGAGAAAGCTTTCTTAAATTATCTATCAGACTGAACTCGGTCACGAGGTCTTGAGCAGTTGATAGACCTTTATTAGGATATTGAATCTGTTGAAAACACATTAAAGGTTCCTCTGAACTCTGCTTCGTTAGGAGGATATTGAATCTGGTGCCACATTGTGCAGTGTGGATAGACCTTTATTAGCATCGTTTCCTCTTTCTTCCAGGTTTTTCCTCCCCTTTCTTCTTCGGCTTCTCCTGCCGCTGCTCGCTCTGGCCAGACCTTTCTCTCCGGCATAATTTAATTGATTTCCAAAGGGTACGAAGTTGGTAGATGTCTAAGCAGCCAACGACTGCTTAGTTAGTCTCACCCGACCGCCGACGGATTGGTACTGCTCAAGTATGCGATGTGCTCTTTCGAGTCCATCGATTTAGGCTCCTTCCCGTCTGCTGACTGTGTACACAACCAGCTCCTCTTCTTGCACTGGCTGTCTAATGTGCAGGCAATGCTTGATATTTTGCAGTCCCCCATGGTGCTCCATCCTATAGCAGCCTCCGAGGAAAGGCTTTTGAATGACAGTAGGCCTATGGTAGTGCCAACTGGCCCTACCAGAAATGCTTTTGCTGTGAAAATTAGCAGTGCTATAGAGTTTTTGGGACTAAGTTGGTGCTCTACTGCTGGCAACGAAAGAAACTGTGATCATGACATTTTTGTTTTTTTTTTGAAGGGTGACGGCCTTCAGATATCATTGTTGAACTGACCAGCCCCAGGTAATTCAGAATGATTTTATATTGGTCATCTGATTGTATCTAGATTCTAACTGCGACTGTATTTCAACAGTTTGTGGGTGTACCAACTGAGCTAGGCCCGTTGGTGTGCTGCTGCTGATTATCGCCTGGCATTTTTGCCTTTTTGAGGGTGGGTAGGTGCTCTGTCCCTACATTGTGCCATCTGGCGGCTGCTTACTCATAAAGATAAATTTGATAAAACTATGGTGCAGGAGTGGTGGCCTCATGTGGCGCTATTGGCCTTCTTGAACCCCATACCGCAATTTTCTATGGCAGAGTGTGGTGGGTAGTACATAAGATCTGGGAAGACCGGCTGCAGACCTGCCTTCAGCGTTTGCTCATGCCCATGCCCAGGGCCAGCCACAGGTTGTAAAGGTAACCCCACCCACACAAACAACGATGATAACCCGGACTGTACCATCATCATTCACTTGGAAGTCGGGACCAAATTGGGGACATCGAGGGATTTTTGTAGCTAGTGATTGCCACTGAAAAAGAAAAGTCTGTCGCTATCCAGTGAGAAGGGACTTCTATGACAATCTGATGTCTAGCCTTATTGCTTGCTTTCAGTGAGAGTGGGAACCACTCTAGCATACAGGGTATGACGGGCTGCTCACAGTGCTTTCATCTCAGGGCCAGGCCTTCCCCTGGTGCTATGTTCATGCTCTCGGAGCAAGAATATAGCACCAGCGGGACCTGCTCCTTTTTGTTCCCAAGTAGTACTCACTGGTTTGCTGCCAGTTCTCAGAGAGTAAATTCAAAGAAATTAAAAAAACATTGAAAATTTTGCTTTTGTCATACGGTGCAGGCATATCTGGAGTGGTTCGTTTATACAACAAGCGGCATGCTTAGTGCTGTTTACCATTCTTGTGATGCTGGTGGTTGGTGTGCTGCGAAATATGACACACTTCTGGTACGTACTCTTGACGAATTCCGCTCATGTTCAACTGAATGTAACCTCCCTCCTCCATTGCCTAAGTCCCGGCCTTCCAAAAAACTTGTCGTTTGGTTGTACTGCTTGGTGCACTGTAAATGCGACACACTTTTGGTATGTCCTTGAGGAACATCTCTTATGTCCAACTGAATGGAATTACCCTCCATTGCTTGTGCAAGTCCTCAGCTTTTCAAGTGGTCGTATGACTTGTGGCTTCCAGGCTCCAGCAACATCGTTACGACACCCACCAGCATAGTGGGCAGCGCTGTGACAATTCACATATACTGATGTACGCAGAATCGCAGACACAAGCAAATCTCCTCATTGTGTCATCCCATCAGTTTCCACTTCCCATGGTTTTGACTTAGATCACAAGCGCTCCTCCCGATTAGCCTGCCGTTTCGTACCTGTGGAAAGGAGGCTCCAGATAGGCGCGTGCTAGGACTCTTGATCGGCACTTTGAACAGGGCCGTTTTAAAATCTGCATGCCTTGGCGGTGACGGTACTAAAAATAAGTCCCGACTTCAAAGCTGCACAGAATGGAGAAAAGAAACAAGACAAGAAAGCCTGGTAAACAAGGAAACTCATATAACCGACTCAGAATCTCAGATGAATGCAAAAACACTCTAGAATTTCTGAGCTTTTTGCGTCAGAAAGGATAAAGTAAGTCTACATGGTGGACACCACAGCTTGGAAAAGAGGCACAGTTGTCTTCATACCAAAATGCTAAAAGTTCTACGAACAGGGTTCAGCATGCCGGACTGAGACAGACAATACACAAGGCAGGTGGTGATTGACTTGATGGACCTAAAATGGAAGGGAGAGGAATTCAGACAAATTAACATAGCTTCCTGCTACGGTTTTCTCCGGTCAGGTCGAGCGGCAGTGGTCGGGGCCGTCACTACGCGGCCATGCTGTGCCTCTAGTGCCAGCGGCGTGTCTGGAGTGTATTTTTTGGCTGTGACAGACCTTTCTTTGTTTCCTGGGTGTTTTGCTGGCTTGTGATGGGGTGTGAACCGACAGTCTGTAGAGTTTTCCATCTGGTGTGGGTGACTGATAGTCTACTTTGATTTTGGTTAAGGTGGATTATCACTTACAGTGTAATCAGTGA